TATCTAGAACTGAGAGCTATTTTACTAATGGGTAAATCAGTCTCTCTGTGGAATCCTGAGCCCAAAGCAAAAGAGAAGGAGAAGTTTTCATTTGGTAGATCAATGGCCTATGAGGCAGTAAAGAGACAACTACATGGGAGACAACCATACCTTTTCAAGATTCTCTCACCTCTGGGTATTGGGACAGGCTACATTTGGTTTGGGATATATCTTCATTCTCTCGATGGAAGGAATGCTCTCATGCAGAGTCATACATCCCATTTTTAATGTAGGTATAACAGTCATATCACAATTCCTGTTCTGTGGGCTCTGGTGCACATTTGCTAAACTTTCAAGAAGCACCAACAACTCTTTTCCTCTCTGGCTGCTTGAATATTAGCCTCCATCATGAACAACACAGTAACTATCTGGATAAGGAAGTTCATGACCAACAGACTATTTCAGTGGGAACAAATGATCACTGACATCCTTCACCTAAGCAGGCACCCTAAGACAGAAAATTCGTGAAAAACTGGCCAAAATGTATAAGACCATACCAGATGTCATCTTTGTATTTGCATTCAGAACCCATTTTAGTGGTGGCAAGACCACTTACTGGCTTTGGCATGATTTGATCCCTTGGATTATGCAAAGAAAAATGAACCCAAACACAGACTTGCAAGACATGACCAGTATGTCAAGAAGAAGACCTCAAGACAACAGCAAAAGGAACACAAGAACAGAATGGAAAAAATCAAGGGGATTATAGGGGTCAATGTTGGTGCTGACAAAAAGTGAGCTGGAGACTGGACAACAGAAAGAGTAAAGATTCTTCAGTGACTTTATCTGTGGTGACTGTGCAGATTTTTCATGAGAGGATTAACAAACTAAAAACTTTTTTTTTTTAAAGCACCAACAAAAATGACACTGACCACACACCAAATGCCCTACCATCTACTATTTCCTCCAGCCCCTCTTATTATACACTGATGTGTGGGTGTGAGGAGAGGAGGGCATTACTAAATAGCACTGGGAGATCCCACTTCTCTTTCTCTCTCTCTCTCAAATTCCCCTATTTAATTGCATTCAGTTAATCAAATATTGTTTGGCCCAACTCTCAATCTGGTTTGTCCAAGTTCTTGATACAGGTCTTCGTCCTTTCTATCTTTCATAAGGAATTTTTTCCTTATTTTATATTATTTTTGTAATTTCACTGGGAATCTAGAAAATGTCACTAAACTAATGGTGTCTGAAGGCCTACTGTATGAATTCAAGCCTATGGAAAATTCACCAATGAACAGATTAAATATAATAATAGTGAGGTAAGTGCATCATATTAGAAATGTGTCATCTTCTTGTGTTGAGGTAAAAAAAAAAAATAAGTTATTGGAAACCAAGGGATAAAAAAGCAAACTGTTAGAAGCCAGTGAGTGGAACATCTGGCTCTAAGATTGAAGTTTCTTCTGGGAATAAGCCAGAGGAAAATTATAGTCAGTGGATAAGACTTAAAAATTTCTACTTGAACATCTCAGGTTTTAGATCAGAAATCAATGGAAGGCCCTAGCCGGTTTGGCTCAGTGGATAGAGCATCGGCCTGCGGACCAAATGGTCCCGGGTTCAATTCCAGTCAAGGGCATGTACCTTGGTTGCAGGCTCTTCCCCAGCCCGGGCCCTGGTAAGGGCTTGGGCAGAAAGCAACCAATCAATGTGTTTCTCTCACATCTATGTTTCTCTCTGTCTTTCCCTCTCTCTTCCACTTTCCCTAAAAATCAATGAAAAAATATCCTCATGTGAGGATTAACAAATAAATAAATAAAAATAACTTATTAATTGTTTATTTTAAAAAAAGAAATCAATGGAAGAACAGAATAAGCTTATAATTAAGGGCTAGGTTTTGGTTTTATTGTGAAAACAGGTAAGTCCAGGTAGTATGACATCAAAGGCCACACCCTTCACCAGACAGGCTATAAGGCCTGCCTTAAACCTTAAGTCAGATGTTTTGCTAAGAATGATGCCAAGCTGATGATCCTATGCAGCAAGTACAGTATTGTCCTCATTTCACAAATGAAGAAACAGACAAAGAAACTACCCAAGATGACAGCATGAGTAGCAAAGCTAGTATACTTATAGTTGGAATATGGGGACAGGGAGTGGAGGGTGGATACAGAAGGAATAATTAACTAAAAGAATATTAATCCATTGCGGACTCAGTGTGATCCAGGTACCAGCACTATAGGTATTACCTCTGAGCTTGTTAGAAATGCAGACTCACAGGCCCCACCCCAGAACTACTGAGTCATAAATCTGCATTTTAACAAGACCCCCAGGTACATGGTAGAGGAGAAAGAGCATGATCTTAAGCTGGTATGAAAGATGGACAGAAGGAAACCACTTGGGGAAATAGTTTACACAAGCAGTATAAAATTTTTTTTAATTTTCAAAGATGACACTCGGATGGCTATTGGATTATCAAAAGTCAGTAAAAAACTTTGGAGAATCCATAAAGCTTAGTAAATGCAAGATTTTAGGGCAGGGGTGGAGAATCTTTTTCTGCCAAGGGCCATTTGGATATTTATAACGTCATTTGCAGGCTATACACAATTAGCAACTTAAAAATTAGCCTATATTTGGTCAAACAATTAACTCACCCCTAGTGCCTGGACAGGGCCAGAACAATTGATTTCTCGGGCCTTATATGGCCCACGAGCCAGACATTACACACCCCAGTTTTAAGGGGACGTACTGCATGTTGGCCTTCCTGGGGCTCTAAGGGCACAGGCCTGGGAAGCACCAGCAGCAATAGCTGAGTTCAGAAAATGGATGACAATTATCTAGGTAAAGCTAAAATGGGAACAAAAGGTGAAGTCTCTCCTAGGAGGCAAGAGTTAAAAAGGCTGAAGAAAAGGGGAAGAGGCCACAGCAACACAATTATAGAAATGGCAGAGAAATTGTAAAAAACAACAAAAAGGAGAAAGGGTGGTGGGCTTTAGAATTTGAGGAGATACAAAATCCATAAACCCTCCCTTGAGGAAATAACTATATTGATAACTGAATGGAAACCCTGCTCACAAGAAAAAAAAAAAAAGACTATATCCCTTCAAAATGTTATGATTTTATACATCTAAAACAAGTCATCTACTCCATGGACACTTCATTGGTTTCCATTGTCAATACACAGACCACATCTCCATGAGGAATTCCTTGACGATCCATTTAAAACTGAAATTTCCTCCCTAATACCACTATGCCAGCACTCCCTATCTCCCTGGTCTCCATCATTTTTCGCTAAGTCGTTTAAAATACTCTTAATTTACAATTTGGTTTATTGTCATTCTGTTTCCACACTAGAATTAAACTCCACAATAACAAGGTATTTCTGTTTTTGCTTACTACTGTTTGTTCCAGAGCTTCGAACCTAGCACATAGAGGGAACTCAATAAATATTTGCTGAGTAAAAGTTTAAGAATGGATTGCCAAGAACACAAGTGTCAAAGGAAAAACTAAATGGAAAATCAATGTTTTAAATACTTGAATATAGGCTCTAATTAAAATGTAAGCTCCATAACAACAGGTATTTTTACCTTTTGCTGAATATAAAAATGGATAAAGTAAAATGTTCAATGTAATGTTCCTAATTTCATTGATTGTAACATGCATTTTTTCATATTTGTACAACTCTAAAATCAGAATGTTGTATATTCAATGATATCTTAGAATCCATTGTCAACCTGGTAATGGTCGTTATATAGTTTTCATTCTGCTTGAATGGACATTCAAAGACATCATGGACACTTGCAAAAGGTATATTGGTGACTCAAAATAAAATCTGAGACTGGCAGAGTACTTTATTAACTCTTGGGAACCAAAGATGTGGGATGGGGGTAGGGTAATTAATCCAACTTAACAACACCTCTGAAGCAGGAGTCAAAAATTGGCTAAACAGGACCATAAAGCCAGCTTAAACTTTTTAAAGCCAAGTACCAATGACTTTAATTCTTCTATTATTTTAGGAAATGCTACATTATCAACACTTTTCATGTCACTGAAGACAAAATGGTATAGAAAAACAGACATCAATGACTGAGTGGAAAAGCATATCTAGACTCAGATTCTGAATGTGAAGATGTTTTAGATATGCCTTAGCCAATTAAGTTTGCTTATAATTTTCATGTTTTGTGTATACACCAGAGTAATTGATAATAAAAATCTATTCAATCTAAAAGCTTGCTTTCAATAAATATAAAATAAAAATTCTAGGTGAAATACAGTATCGCATGATTCTTCTGTTACTCTGTGGATCTCCTTCCTAAAGGTGGACAGGAATACTAATGGTTGACCATCAGCCTTTGTGGTTAACACCACAGGAATAAATGTAAGATACTTTGTCTGAACACTTTACCCCTAGGGGGAGCTCAAAGCACATCTTCCTTTATTCCACCCCAGAGAAGTGCTAAGGACATATTAGTGAGCCACAGTACTAGGTTATTTCTTCCTAAGTAAATGGTAAAAAGATCAAATGTTCTTGCCATCTACAGGAATGTTCCTGTGTATTTTTTTACTCTCTTCTCTCATAGAGAATGCAAAAAACATCTGCCTCCTATCTTGGGGAGACTATTGAGAAAATAGATGAGAAAATCAGGGTATAGACAAGGGTAAGCGTGGCATGGACACACAGCCTGAGTCTAGCTACGGGCAGATCTTCATGGAGCTTTGAAACCAAAGCCTGCAGCAATAAAAAATGAGTATGTGTCCAGGATGTGCTTAAGAATCTACAGGGTGGTGGTAATAGGCTCTGGTATAGCAAATGTAGAATTGGAATCCTATCTACGGACTGCTTACAAATACAGCTAAAATTCATTTTAAGAAACTTTTTTCCCCACCAGTATAACAGGATCTTAAGCACTGCCACCTGAGTAAATTTAAAAACTTATAAGCAATAAGTAACCAATATACTACTTTTAGGTTGAGAATAAAGGCCTGTTTTATATATAGACAAAATGTAAAATAGTAAATTGTTTTACCTGGAATGATCCAAGAATATCCTTTAAGGGCTCTTCATAAAACTCATCTCTTCCAAAAAAAAGCAGCAACTCAAAGAAACTCCTAGGAAAAATAAATGAATGATAACTTTCATTGCTTCTTTGACTTTTGTCCCAATTTAAAAATATCTCAATAGATAACAGCTATGTAATCAGATATCTAGTTTTAAAATAGTTGGCTTTAAAACATTATATAGATCATTTAGGATTCATTTTATGTTTTCAGTAACATTTTAATAGAAGTATCTTCAAGAAAAATACAAAGAAATACACTTAAATTCTGGAATTACAGAATGAACTCATGCCTACTAGTGTTCACACTGCAAAAAAATGCAACAGGATACCAGGTGGTAAAATGTAGCAATACATGTGAAGATTATCTAAAATGGGCACATACTCGTAGTACAACGGGAAGCAGAAAAAATTCAAGTTAATTTTTTTCAGAAGGATATAAGGGATAGATAGAAATAAAAACATATTAGCGAATCACCATGAATCTCTCAACCAACATTTATGTTACAGCAATATCACCAATTATGTATCTAATTAATGACATATGGACACTCAAACTCCAGGCTTCTCTTAATTATCATTATCCTACTGTCCAAAATCCTTATCTTAAAATAAATTATTTGGAAAATATTGTTATTAAATAGTTTATGTGCATTTAATAATTCATTAGCTCATACAGGAAGAAATATGACTTATTTCCTAATCATGAACATAGAAAACTATAAAATTATTATATATTACTTTGCAATCCTAAATGACAAATCCCACAAAATGTTTTAAAATATATTTTTATTGATTTCAGAGAGGAAGGGAGAGGGAGAGATAGAAACATCAATGGTAAGAGAGAATCATTGATCAGCTGCCTCCTGCTTGGCTCCTACTGGGTATCAAGCCCACAACCCAGGCATGTGCACTGACCTGGATTCAAACCGTGACCTCAAAGTTCATAGGTCGAAACTCAACCACTGAGCCATGCCAGCTGGGCACCCCCACAAAATTTTTAAATTTTGTCACGGCCTTCATTTTGAAGTCTATTTTGTCAGATATGAGTATTGCTACCCCAGCTTTTTTTCTTTTCGATTTACATGGAAATTTTTTTTCCAACCTTTCATCCTCATTCTGTGTGAGTCTTTTGTTCTGAGGTGGGTCTCTTATAGACAGCATATAATTGGGTCATGTTTTTGTATGCATTCAGCTACCCTTGTCTTTTGATTAGAGCATGTAATCCATTTACATTTACAGTTATTATTCATAGGTACTTATTTGCCATTTTAATTCTGTATGCCTGTTTCTCTCTTTCTGTCTCTATTCTTCTCCTTACAGCATTCACTTTGGCATTTATTGCAGTGCTGGTCTGGTGATGATAAACTCCTTTAGCCTTTTTTTGTTGGGAAGCTATTTTTTCAACATCTATTCTGAATGATAGCGTTGCTGGATACAGTAATCTTGGTTTCAGGTTCTTGCTTTTCATTACCTTGAATACTTCATGCCATTCCCTTCTGGCCTGTAGAATTTCTGATGAGAAATCTGATGATAGCCTTATGGAAGCTCCTTTGCAGGTAACAAATTGCTTTTCTCTTGCTGCCTTTAAGATTCTCTCTTTGTCTTTAATTTTTGGCACTTTAATTATGATGTGTCTGGGCATGGGCCTGTTTGGGTTCTTCTTGCTTGGGACTCTCTGTGCCACCTAAACTTGTGTGACTTTTTCCTTTACCCCATTAGGAAAGTTTTTGGCCATTATTTCTTCAAGCATGTTCTCCATTCCTTGTTCACTTTCTTCCCCTTATGGCACACCTATTATGTAAATATTTTTACATTTCATATTGTTTCATAACTCCCTTAAGCTGTCCTGTTTTTTCAATTGTTGTTGTTGTTTTTTTGTTTTTGTTTTCTGGTTGAGTGACTTTTTTTCTACCGTCATCTAATTAATTCACTGATCTGATCCTCGGCTTCTCCTATTCTGCTCTGTATTTTTTTCCACTGTGTTCTTTATTATTGCTATGTCATTCTTCATAGATACTATATCTTTTCTCATGCTGTTGAGCATTTTTGCCATCATTATTCTAAACTCTATGTCTGTTAAATTTCTTATCTCCACTTCATTTATCTCTTCTTCTGGAGAATTCTCTTGATCTTTCATTTCAGGCTTGTTTTTTTGTCTCCCCATCTTGGCTGCCTGTTTGGATTTGTGTCTCTGTATTAAGTAGATCTGCTATGAGTCCCCCATCTCTCATGCAAGACAATGTCAGATGCTGTTTGTGACTGTTTGGAGCTATCAGCAATCCAAAGCTTGTGGCGTTCTCTGCTGTGGTTGGGTGCCTTTGGAAAGGACCAAGAGGTGCACCAGGGACTGCTTTTCCCAATCCCTGGACCAGAAGGAGATCAGGCAAAAAAACAAAATGTTTAAATTCTAAGTCATGTAAAAGATACACAAAGTTGTAGTTTTATAAACAGTTTGCCTTTTATCAAAATTAATCACTAATAAAGATCAAAAATTTAAAATGCAAACATAACTATGAGACTGTCTCGTTTTAAAAATTATGACACTTAAGCATTACACAATAAATACAAAGACTGTTCAAAATATAGCATAGCAACTATATGCTACAAAAATATTATTAACTGATATTTTTATAAATTTGACTACTTAAAAATTTTAAATGTCAACAGACCAAAAAGTGTAAAAGCAGTCAAAAGCAAAATGATACACCGAAAAAGAATTTTGCTGATTTCCTTAATTAAAAAGCATATACAAGTAATTTTTTTAAAAAGTCAACAACCACGCCGAAACCGGTTTGGCTCAGTTGATAGAGCGTCGGCCTGCGGACTGAAAAGTCCCAGGTTCGATTCCGGTCAAGGGCATGTACCTGGGTTGCGGGCACATCCCCAGTGGGAGATGTGCAGGAGGCAGCTGATCGATGTTTCTCTCTCATCGATGTTTCTAACTCTCTATCTCTCTCCCTTCCTCTCTGTAAAAAATCAATAAAATATATTAAAAAATAAAAAAGTCAACAACCAGTAGAAAACTAGGAGGGAAGAAGGACTAACTTCATGGAAAACAAATGCAGGTAGATTTTTTTTTTTCAAATAGGAAAAGATGTTCTAATTTACTCATAATTAAATAAGTAAAAATTTATGAAAATGAAATACCATTTTTCCTTCATATTTACGAAAATGTTGATATATTCTATCATGGCTCTGATAGTTTGGTGGAGGAATGATAAATGGTACCACCTCTTTTAAGGGCAACACAGTAATAATCATCAAAATGCACATATACCACTTGATTTTGCAACTCTACTTGTAGAAATTAATCCTCCAAATATATATACATAAGCTCAAAGATGTATATATTAGAATATACACCCACAGATGGTTTGTAGTAGGAAAGACTGAAAATATTTTAAATGTCTACCCTAGGGGACTAGGTAAATTAATTATAATACACCTATACAATGAAATATAATGCAAATATTAATGAAATAAATTAGTGAGAAGATACTTATATCTACATGAAGAGATAAGGAAAAAAATCAAGATATACTGCTGAGCAAAGATGCAGAAATTCATTACATTATCATTTGTATAAAGGGAGGGAGGGAGCAAAGGGCACATGTACATCCAGGGCATATTGTCAGACCATCTAGAGCAGTGGTTCTCAACCTTCTGGCCCTTTAAATACAGTTCCTCATGTTGTGACCCAACCATAAAATTATTTTCGTTGCTACTTCATAACTGTAATGTTGCTACTGTTATGAATCGTAATGTAAATATCTGATATGCAGGATGGTCTTAGGCGACCCCTGTGAAAGGGTTGTTCGACCGCCAAAAAGGTCGCGACCCACAGGTTGAGAACCGCTGATCTAGAGGATATGCAACAAATTGATAAAAGAAATTGCCTCTACATAGGAGAAACTAGAAGTCGGGGATAAAAAGGAGAATTATGTTTCAATAATAACCCTTTTGCAATTCTTTATTTTACTATCAGTAAGTATGAAAAGAAAAAACCATTAATGTGTCTCTGGAATCTTCTCCATCCCTTTTAACAAACACTAATTCACATCTATCTCATCTTTAAACTTCTAATAGGCCTTCCTAATTCCAGTCTTGCTATTTCACCCTTACCTAAAACCTATGTCTGCCACCGTTATCTTCCTAAAATAATGATCTAACTACTTTCAGACCTTACAAACTACTGTTTGGATTGTACATATAAAGCAAAGACCTTTAGCGACACACTTGTTCTGTTTGGATAACATATTATTTTAAAATATCTTAGTGAATGGCAAATATTTAAAAACTGTGATGTTTCAGATTAAATATAGATTTATTTTAGCTCTTGAAAAACAAGAATCCCTGTAACACAGGGCTTGCATCTCTCCATAGCAAATAAGCTGAGTGGCTACACGGAATGAACCTCCTTTCCAATTTGCCGGTCTCCAACACAGTGCCTGTTTGATTTATTTATTACTTACATTGCCTCCCAATTCTATTTCATTCCCTAAAACTCCCATGATTTTAAGGTCTTTGGATATGTTGCTTCCTCAAGACCTGTTTATATACTTTCACCTAAGAACTTGACCTAAAATTCCCTTCCTTCTCTCTAAACAAATAAATGGTTGATTCTTCTGCACCAAAATTTGCATATATCCCTATTATGACATGTTGAAACACGGAGGTGTTAAATTTGCACTAATTATTATATTTTGAATTAAAGAAGGGAGAGTTACAGAAAGTATTAGTAGAAATGTGCTCTGATAGTAAATTTAGACATCAGTATGCAGACCAACATGACTTCGTAGTGTCAAACAAAATAGCAGAATTATGTCTGCATATATGAATATGAAAGGGCAGCCAGCATTTTTTCCAAAAGAGAAGTATGTGCATGCCCTACTGTCAACTCTCTCAATAACAAGGCCCAACTCCATGATAATTGTATTAAAATGAAAAAAGAACATGTAAAATAAGTAAAGAGTGAACAAAGACAAAACAACATGGTCTATGTAGCTCTGCCTTAGGGTAAGAGTCAGGTAAGTCAGTAAGTATTTAAGC